ACACACACACACACACACACACACACACACACACACACACACACACACACACACACGGCGGGTTGGTTTCTGATTCTCCTCTGTGAGGCCAGAGGGTGAGAGCATCCCTGTTACTGTCACAAGCTCTCTCTTGGCAGAGGAGTCTGGCCTTGTTTTGTTCATGTTCATCGGTTGTCAGCAGGACCCTGCGTGGAGCAACCTTGTGATGTCTGGTCCTCCCTACTCTCTCCACTTCTCTTTCTTTTAGAGAAAGACCCCCTGCACTCCCCACTGTTACCCTCCCCCCATAATAAAAGATGTATGGATGGGAAAAGTAGGTCAGTGACATGGGTCTCTGGAAAATCTCAGAATGTGTGAAACTTAAATATTAAACAGGGAGGGAGATGGAGACGTACTCAGGAGGAGAAAGCAGATGGCAGAAAACTAAACAGTGGAGGGACAGAATTTATGGAGCGACCAGAGTGTTGGCTCTGGAGCTGCTGGGCTCTGACCTGGGCCCCAGGGTCAGTGATGGGAGGCATGTATGAACTCTCACCAGATGCTGGGACCCCAATCTGATATTTCCTGGATTATTGAACTATGGCAGATTATTATATAGGCTTGCCCCACTTTGTTTCTCCCAGCTCTGGAATGAGGATATCCACGGAACCTCCTGTTTGGTGGTGGTGAGAATTAATGTCACAGGGGGGAGTGCTGACTTGCAAGAAACAATGCAAAACTCCAGCCCAGCTGCCTGGAGGAATGTGGTTCTGGGGAGCATTCCAGATCCACAGGACTCAACCTACATGGGGGATTCCAACTTCTTTTTTTAAATTTTTAAAATTAATTTATTTATTTATCATGTATACAATATTCTGTCTGTGTGTATGTCTGCAGGCCAGAAGAGGGCACCAGACCTCATTACAGATGGTTGTGAGCCACCATGTGATTGCCGGGAATTGAACTCAGGACCTTTGGAAGAGCAGGCAATGCTCTTAACCACTGAGCCATCTCTCCAGCCCCCCAACTTTTTGATACCCCCCAAAATCTCTTTGTTAGGTTTAAAAATGTTTTCTTCTGTGTATGAGTGTTTTGCCTACATGTAAGGATGTACTCCACTGACACCTGTGGTACCATAGATGGCCAGAAGAGGGCATCAGATCTCCTGGAATCCTAGTTAGTTGAGCCTTCATTGTGGGTCCTGGGAACCAAACCATGTGCTGAGTTTAACTGCTCTTAACTTCTGAACTCTATCCAAAGTGCTCTAAGAAAATCCTTAAAAATAAATAAATAAATAAATAAATAAATGTATGTTAGGTTGGTGGTATCTGAAATGGTCTCTTTAATCACAGATTAAAATATTTTGGGATATATTATAAATATTAGCATTATATTTAAAACTATCATAGTGCTTTTTAAAATGTATCCAGCAGAATATAAATATGAAAATGTAAAACCACCCTATTGACTTAAATAGGCAGACATGTTTCTCTTTAACAGTTAAAAAATTTACATTGTGTCCCGTCCTGGTTACTTTTATAAGCTTGAGATAATGTAAAATCATTCTAGAAGGGAATCTCAATAAAAATTACCTAAATTGGATTAGACTTGTGGGCTTGTATATGAAGATTATTTTGTTATGTTGTTACCTGAGGTGGGAAGACTCCCCCAGTGTGGGGTTCACCATTCTCTATGTAGGGGATCCTGGATTCATAGTTAGCAAGGGATGTCATGTGACAGCTGATTCAAGTTCCTGCCCAGTGAGCTTTCCCACAGTGGGACTATCACCTGCAGCAGAGAACAAAACAGACCCTTGTACAATACTATTTTAAGATATGTTACATTTGTTTACACTGTGGGATATTTGTTTAATGATGCAAAGATGTGCTGTATTCCTTTCTGTTGCAGTTGTTTGACTCTGTGAAGCTGTGTTACTTTGCCTGTTTAAAACACCTGATTGGCCTAATAAAAAGCTGAATGGACAATAGCAAGGCAGGAGAAAGGATTGGCGGGAGGGGTAGGCAGAGAGGATAAATAAGAAGAGAGATCTGGGAGGAGCAAGATCAAGGAGCAAGGAAAGAAGGGGCCAGCCACATACCTATACAACCAGAAATGGAATAAGAAGGAAAGAAAAGATATTCAGAAACAGAGAAAGGAAAAAGTCCAGAGGCAAGAGGTAGTTAGGATAAGTTAAGAAAAGCTGGCTAAAAACAAGCCAAACTAAGAGCGGACATTTATAAAAAAATAAATAAATAAATAAAAAGTAATAAGCCTCCATGTGTTTGGGAGCTGGGTGGTGGGCCCCAAGAGAGTAAGAAAACACTTACAGACCCTTACATTGCCTTTGCCAGGGTAACTTATTAAGATGACAGCAAATGCTTTACAACTTCAAAGTGTTCTTGCTTTCTTCCAACAAAATTGTATCCTGCTTTGATGTTTCTGAAGTTTAATTCCTTTGTTCATCACCTCATCTATTATGTGAACTGAAATATATGAATAATGGATTAACTTTTAATTTTTTTCTTATGACCATAAGGCTCTAAACATCTCTGCTCCATCCAGGATGGTGTGATTATAATTACTAATGATTACTGATTATCAATGATATCCCACATACACTATGAATTTATTAAATAATTACCAAACATAGCAAAAAAACTGAACTAGACATGCATTGTTCTGGACGTGTGTGATGGTACAACCCAAACTCCCAGCGTTTGGGAGACTGGGGCAGGAGGATGGAGGAGGATGGAGAGTTCAGTCACAGCCCTTGCTAACTTGTGAGATTCTACCTGAAAAACATAAAAAACAATGACAATAAATAAACAAATAAATGAGCATTGTCATGATTAACAGGACACCAACATTATGGGGCTTTTGTGTATGTCTATAGCACTTTAATGACTCAGAACATTGACAGTACGTGGGGCGGAGTTAGACGGGGTGGGAGCCAAGCCTTTATTTTATCCGGGGAGAGAGCAGGGGAATGAGAGAGGAAATGATAAAGGAGCACCTGTGTCCTCAGGCAAGCGAAGCTGATCTCAGGTGGACACGTGAAGGTGCAAGGAAATCTTTCTGCACATCAGAGGCTAGGCATGGGGAGCTGAAGAGCTGGGGAGACTCTGACATGCCTGAGTCTTGGAGTCTCCATAGCCTCCTCTTACACTGCTCAGTGCCTGCCTCCCCTTCCTGGGGTTCATCTTCACTCTCAGTTTAACTGGATTAGAGACTCCCATCTGTGACACACCTCGGTGTGTGTGTGTGTCATGTTTCCAGAGAGGTTTTTAACTAAGAGGGATGATCCACCCTGAATATGGGTGATACTAACCCATGCGTTGGAACCGTGAACTAAATTAAAAGAAGAAAGTGAAGCAAACACCATCATCCATTTATCTCTATTTCCCATCTGTGGGCACACCATGACCAAGACCAACTGCCTGAGGCTCGCTCCTGCCCCCATGCCTTTCCCACCACACAGACTGCATTCCTTTCAACCGTGAGCCAAGATGACCCTTCTTTCCTTCAGTCACTGCTGTCAGGGATCTGATCGCTGTAATGTGAAGAGCAAGTACTACAAAAAATTGGTACCAGAAGTGGGGCCATTTCTGCTATAAACCGGACTATGTGATTCTTAAGCTTTTGGAACTCTTTGCAGAAATAATGTAAAAGAGTTTGGAATTTCAAACTAGTAAAGTCCTAGAATCCTGTCAGCAGAACTTAATGGGCCATCCTGATGGGAGCCCAGACGACCAGAATGTTGAAAGAAATTCATTCAGTGGAGGGATGGCTCGGGGACTGTTTGATGGAACAACAACTCTACTGAAAAATAGGCTGGAGACCACTGATGTTATGTTCTGGCAAAGAGTCTGACTATATTCTTCCCATCTCCTGAGAAATTGAGTGAGGCCAAGTTCTATCATAATGGGCTAATTTCTCATGATTACTCTCCCTGCCCTTATCCAGGTTTCTATGTGTGAGGAGGGCAAGAGAGGCAGACAGATCTGGACAAGGTGAAGCTTAGCAAGGAGAGGAGCATGAGGTAATGTAAAGTCACTGACGGACTCAAAAGCAACACTGAGAAACCCTGCCTTGAAAAACCACAAATAAAACAAAGTCACTGATGGGTCATTCAGAGAAATAGCTGAAGTTAGAAATGAGTGTCTTTAAAGAGAAACCCAGAGCTTCCACTGGGCTAGCAGGGAAGCCCCCACCCACCAAAGTCTTGTAAACAAGCCAGTTCATTTCAAAGGAGAGCATCTACGCCAACACTGAAGGGTTCCCTGTTCCAAAAGGGCCACTTAGGCAGATGC